GTAAACTTCTACGAGACTACACGGCGTTACAACCCAGGAGACAGGCAGCTTGAGATCGAAAAGTTGTTTTCCTTGGAATACAACAAATTTCCAAAGGTGTTCTTTGCTCCACACATTGTATTCTCCAATATATAACTTATAATAACAAAGAAATAAAAAAAAAATATATGGTCTTAATTTGTAGAAGTGGTACATTTACAAGTTAAATTTGGCACTTGGGCTCCGATAACGATTTCTTTCTTGTTGAAATCAAAACTGTGGACAGAGGGAAAACAAAATAACAATTACTGTGGATCTTGAATAGAACTGAATCTGCTCATATTTTTCCCTCGTATTTAAATACAATGTAGTTATGCCCGGACAACAAGAGGGTTTAATCTCAACACAATGCAGTACATAAGTAATGAATTATTAATTAGCATTCCTAATATGCAGTCTCGGGCAACCGACAATGGGTGATAATAAAGTTTGGATGTTTGGTGTAGGACTAACAACCCCTCACCTTAAAAACTTATTTTGTTACGAAACGTCTAAAAGCTACGGGCCTGAACTGATTCTTTGGCACGACCTAAGCAATGTAAAAAAGACATGCGATTTCGCACGTGGAATATTAGGAGTCTCTACAGATGATGTTCAATCGAGCCAGCAGCAAGTGAGGTAGAGAAGTACTAGATAGATTTAGTACGAGTAAAAGAATTTAGGTGGGAAGAGGAGGGATATCAAAAGATCGAAAAGTTGTTCTCCTTGGAATACAACAAAGTTCCAAAGGTTTTCTTTGCTCCACACATTGTCTTCTCCAATATATAACTTATAATAAGAAAGAAATAAATATTAAAAAAAATATATCGTCTTAATTTGTAGAAGTGGTACATTTATGAGCTTATACACGTTCATCGATGCAAGTGCAGTAATTAATTTTAGAGAATTAAACAATTCACTTCCTTCAACAGAATAGGCCTCCTGATCGGATGCCATTTTTTGTTAGGTGTGTCCCTTGTCATCATAGTATAGCCCGTCCTCAGATTGCGCATTGAGGAGAAGGCGTTCATATATGGATGACAGCTGCAAATGTGTTGAATATACAGTCTCGGACAACCGACAATGGGTGATAATAAAGTTTGGATGTTTGGTGTAGGACTAACAACCCCTCACCTTAAAAACTTATTTTGTTACGAAACGTCTAAAAGCTACGGGCCTGAACTGATTCTTTGGCACGACCTAAGCAATGTAAAAAAGACATGCGATTTCGCACGTGGAATATTAGGAGTCTCTACAGATGATGTTCAATCGAGCCAGCAGCAAGTGAGGTAGAGAAGTACTAGATAGATTTAGTACGAGTAAAAGAATTTAGGTGGGAAGAGGAGGGATATCAAACAGCAAGAAATTATAAATTTGTCTGTGGAAAAGGGAACATTAATCACCAATTAGGATCAGGATTCTCCGTACATAATAGAATTGTTTCAGTAGTTTAAGGATTAGGAGTTGTTCATGATGTCGTATGTAATTCTAAAAAGTCATTATAATAAGAAAGAAATAAATATTAAAAAAAATATATCGTCTTAATTTGTAGAAGTGGTACATTTATGAGCTTATGCACGTTCATTGATGCAAGTGCAGTAATTAATTTTAGAGAATTAAACAATTCACTTCCTTCAACAGAATAGGCCTCCTGATCGGATGCCATTTTTTGTTAGGTGTGTCCCTTGTCATCATAGTATAGCCCGTCCTCAGATTGCGCATTGAGGAGAAGGCGTTCATATATGGATGACAGCTGCAAATGTGTTGAATATACAGTCTCGGACAACCGACAATGGGTGATAATAAAGTTTGGATGTTTGGTGTAGGACTAACAACCCCTCACCTTAAAAACTTATTTTGTTACGAAACGTCTAAAAGCTACGGGCCTGAACTGATTCTTTGGCACGACCTAAGCAATGTAAAAAAGACATGCGATTTCGCACGTGGAATATTAGGAGTCTCTACAGATGATGTTCAATCGAGCCAGCAGCAAGTGAGGTAGAGAAGTACTATATAGATTTAGTACGAGTAAAAGAATTTAGGTGGGAAGAGGAGGGATATCAAACAGCAAGAAATTATAAATTTGTTTATGGAAAAGGGAACATTAATCACCAATTAGGATCAGGATTCTCCGTACATAATAGAATTGTTTCAGTAGTTTAAGGATTAGGAGTTGTTCATGATGTCGTATGTAATTCTAAAAAGTCATTAGTGTGATATCTTTATGCTGAATCAGCAGGCCCCAACTGAGGATAAATACGATGAAACAATGAATGACTTTTAAGAAGAAATAGAAGATGAATTTGACTTGTTCCCTAGATATCATACGAAAATTTTGCTCGGAAACTTGAATGCTAACAACCCCTCACCTTAAAAAACTTATTTTGTTACGAAACGTCTAAAAGCTACCGGACCTGAACTGATTCTTTGGCACGATCTAAGTAAAAAAGACATGCGATTTGGCACGTGGAATATTAGGAGTCTCTACAGATGATGTTCAATCGAGCCAGCAGCAAGTGAGTTTGAGAAGTACAAGATAGATTTAGTACGAGTAAAAGGATTTAGGTGGGAAGAGGAGGGATATCAAACAGCAAGAAATTATAAATTTGTCTATGGAAAAGGGAACATTAATCACCATTTAGGAACAGGATTCTCCGTGCATAATAGAATTATTTCAGTACTTTAAGGATTAGGAGTTGTTCAGGATGTCGTATGTAATTCTAAAAAGTCATTAGTGCGATATGTTTATGCTGAATAAGCAGGCCCCAACTGAGGATAAATACGATGAGACAATGAATGACTTTTAAGAAGAAATAGAAGATGTATTTGACTTGTTCCCTAGATATCATACGAAAATTTTGCTCGGAACCTTGAATGCAAAGTTTGGGTGGAAGAACAAATCTAAACCGATTATTCGTAAGGAAAGTTACATGATGTTTACAATAATAATGTGATCAGAGTAGTAAATTTTGCAACTTAAAAAATTTAACTGTCCAAAGCACAATATTCCCTCACCGTGATATTTATAAACTTACTTGGACTTCTCGTGATGGTGTTACACACAATCATATAGATCGTGTTTTAATTGACAAAAGAATATACTCCAGTGCATTTGGTGTCACATACTTACTAGGAGCTGACTGAGACACCGACCATTACCTGACAGTGGCAAATGACTTGCAGTAAGGAAACAAACAAGGCAAATATTGATTTTTAAGGATTTGATGTGAAGAAACACAGTGATGTAGAAGTTAAGGGAAAGTACCAGATAGAAGTCTGCAATAGGTTTGCTGGTATAGAGAACTTAGATGACAGTTTGGATAATAAGGGCGCGTGAGAGATTATTAGGGGCAATATCAAGACCTTAGAAAAGGAAAATCTAGGATATTATAAACTAAAACATAGCAAACCAAGGTTTGATTAGTATTGTTCAAAACTAATAGACAAACTGAAGCAGGCTAAATTACAATTATTGCAAAATCATGCGAAATCAGTGGAGCTAATCTGCAAAATTTAAGGCTTGAAACAAGTAGAACATTTAGGGAGAAGAAATGTGAATACCTGAAAGACAAACTTAATGAACTTGAAACGAATTAGAGAAACAAAAATATTAGAGATTTATACAAAGGCATAAATTAAAATAAGAAATATTTTCAAACTTGAGTTATTATTATCAGATAAAAGAACGGTTATGAGCTCTCAGATTCCCACATTTTTTGAGTAGTTGGAAAAATTTCTTTTACCAGGTGTTAACAAACTTGAGTTAATATTATCAGATAAAAGAAGGGTTATGAGCTCTCAGATTCCCACATTTTTTGAGTAGTTGGAAAAATTTCTTTTACCAGGTGTTAAATGTTTACGTCAGTGGTCCCCAACCTTTTTGTACCTACGGGCACATTTGAGAGTTTATGAGATCGTGGCGGACACCAACCAATTAACAAAGCCAAATTCTCTTTTCTCTGGACAAATAAGATATGGACACCAAATAATACACAAAACAACACGAAGTTTAATGATACAGAAAACCACGCAATCAAAAATACGTACTTTTAAAAGTACAATTATTTTTACTCAAGTGGGAAGTTATTGTGATGTTTGGCGCTGCATTTCATCGGCAAGATTTCAAATTTGGGAGTCGAGATCTGTGCTTTGATTTTATAATTTTCATGGTTGAACGGCCTTCATTATTCAGTATAATCTCTTTCCTTAATAAAGCGGGCACCCAAAAGAAGCCTTGGCGGGCGCCATGGCGCCCGCGGGCACCGCGTTGGGACCACTGGTTTACGTAGTTCACATTATGACGCACATAGATACACATACGGTTAAGCCATTATTACCAGAACCTAGCCTTATCGCAGTGGAGACTCTTTTAAGAAGTTGAAAAGTTTTAAATCTCTTTATAGACTTCAAATAAGTAAATGACTCAGTTAAAAGAGAAGCTTGTTACAACATTTCTGTTGAATTCAGTGTACCTAAAAACCCATTTTGGCTAATTGTGTTTACGTGAAACATACAGCAAAATTCGTGTAGGTAAAAAATTGTCCAATGAATTTCCTGTTTAGAATGACTTGAAATAGGGAGATGCTCTTTCGTCACTGCTTTTAAATTTTGCCCTAGAATTTGTTATCAGTGAAGTCCTAGAAAATCAGGGCTGTTTGGAATTGCATTTAGTTTATGCTGATGATGTTAAATTGCTGATCAATGATATAAATACTATAAAAGCAAATGAAACATCCCTAAAGTCTAGTAGGAATATTGGTCTAGAAATAAATTCAGAAATGACAAGTAAAATTTTAAATTAAATCCGTGGCGTAACATCTCAAATGACTCAGTTAAAAGAGAAGCTTGTTACAACATTTCTGTTGAATTCAGTGTACCTAAAAACCCATTTTGGCTAATTGTGTTTACGTGAAACATACAGCAAAATTCGTGTAGGTAAAAAATTGTCCAATGAATTTCCTGTTTAGAATGACTTGAAATAGGGAGATGCTCTTTCGTCACTGCTTTTAAATTTTGCCCTAGAATTTGTTATCAGTGAAGTCCTAGAAAATCAGGGCTGTTTGGAATTGCATTTAGTTTATGCTGATGATGTTAAATTGCTGATCAATGATATAAATACTATAAAAGCAAGCAATGAAACATCCCTAAGGTCTAGTAGTAATGTTGGTCTAGAAATAAATGCAGAAATGACAAGTAAAAGTTTAAATTAAATCCGTGTCGTAACATCTCCAGAGGGCCAAAGCCGACTAGCTTGACTGCTGGCCTCACGTTCACACGCCTAATCAGAGGTGAACGATCATCCAACCAGATACAGGGTGACGTGTGGTGAGCACTACGAACCCCCAGCCATTGCTAGTTTCCATGACCGGATTACGCTACTTATTGTAGCTCCCCAATTTCCTCACAATGCTGGGTTGGCACCGGTCCCATACACAAATCGAAAATCTCATGAGAAATTTCTTTCCCCGAGACTCGAACCAGCGCGCATTCCGTATCGCCGGTCCGAAGCATGATGCCTCAGTCAGCACGGCTACGGCGCGAGACTGAAATGACAAGTATATAATTATATTTCGGTATCAGAATTCGGGACAGAACCAGAGTGTGAGGAATACTAATGAATTGTTTGAAAGTGTGACAAAATTTAAGTACTTGGAAACGACACTCAAAAGTCAGAAAAATAATCATTAACAAATTAAAAGCACATTAATTTCAGAAAAGGCATGCTATCATTCAGTAAGAAATAATTTGTACTCAAGTCTTACATGATAATGAAAAATGTCAAAATACACATAATTGAAAATTTGACATTTGTGTTGTGTTGTTGTGAAATCTCTGAGAGAGGAACATAGATTGAGAGTCTTTGAGAACGGAGTGTTGAGAAAGATATTTGGACCCAAAATGGAGGCAGACGGATCACGTGGAAAAGTGCATAACGATGAGCTTCACGGCCTGTACTCCTCACCTGATAGTGATACGGTGAAAGAATCGAGGAGGATAAAATGGGCAGGACATGCGGCATGCATGGGTAAGGGGAGAGTGGTTTATAAGGTATTATTTGGGAGGAGACCGCTGGGAAGTTTAACGTTAGATGGATTATAGGGAGACAGATATCATGGAGAGAAAGATGCAGCTAGCTCAGGGTAGAGAGAGAAGGAGGGCTTTTATGAACGCGATTTTGAAACTTTCCGTCTCATAAAGAACGTGGGCTATTCTTTGAAGGGCGAGTATAAAATCGACTTTTCAAAGGCTACGCTGCACCGTGGAGTGAGTGTGATCAAATGCCAGTACGAGCATGTCATAAACACTAATATCAAATAGTTCATGTGACTATCTATAGATGGTAGCACGTATACTTTAAATGAGCATGGGTAACAGCGTCGTGGCTGAGCATCGTCCTCCCATGTCATGAATTTGAGCATCAATAACGTCTGTATCATCTATTATAGGACGTTTTGTGGTACGAATTTGGACCAGCCTTTGATGACCAGAGCTTCATTCCAAAGTTTATCGGAAACCTTTCGTCTGTTCTGGAGTAAAGTTATGGCAGAAAGTTTTAGTTACTCTGACCACAGACAGATTGCAACACGACCTCGGCTGACGCGACAGATATAGACAGCAACTGGTATTTAGTCGGCGGCAAGTCCGGGTAGTGGAAAACGAAGTGAGAAAAGGACTAGGAAAAAGTGTCCCACTGCTGCGAAATCTGGGGGGGATTCATTAACATTTTTAGAGAGGAAGCTCGTCGGATTGCTTTGTTCCTTCGTTCACCCTGGTGATTGTATTGTTCCCAGGGGGCGAAATCAATGGGGGCTAGCCAACCGACTCGTCAGATAGTTATGAAAGGATCATATGTTGCGACAGATTTGGATTTATCACAAGCGGTAAGTATGACGATTCTTATTGGTTGTGACGTCATGTAGACTCGTAGGTAGATTTAATCGTTTCGGAAAAACATTCTGCCTCCACCTTCAGCCTTGAAGATGGAGACAGTATTTTTTTCGAATCGTTGGTATTTACCTTCGCATCTACACGGCGTCACTTCTCAGGTCCCATTCTGTGCCTTTCGCTCGATAAAAGGTAAAGAACGCCAAATAAAACCACTAACAGTTGGCTTGCTGGCCATGCGGAGAATACCTATACAAATCGCACGTCACCTTATGCTTGTCAGACTTGTATTTCTTGCCCCAAACATAGATGCATCCCGTACTGAGGCATCCAAATTTCGATCGGCAATCTTTATTTGTTTTATTTTAAGTGGCTCCAGTGGCGGGATGCTGTATTTCCTTTCACCTGAAATTCACAGCATGAAAGACAACAAACTGTAAGTTGATATGAGAGTGTACACGGAACAAATGTATTTTATAAAAGTCCCCCTTACCCTCCAAGTGCATACCAAAGTATTAGGACCTCTGGCGAGAGCGACGCCTTTTATTTCATCCTAGTGCTTTGATACTTTTACTGCTTATTGCCGCCATCCGGAGAAACTACTTTCACATCCTTCCAGTTGACATAATCCGGAAGGCCAATATACAGAATGTCCTAATAAGATGTATATGCGTTATAATACGAAATATTATTAAACTTGTGTGTACACATACTTTTGAGACACTCTGTATTCTATGTTTCACAGCAGCAGAAACACTC